CAGCATTTCCAGCAGTATCCAACATTTCTCAATCATGATCTTACTCAGCTAATGTGACTAATAGCTTAACAGCTGTATTCCTTGTTTGCTAGCTACCTATGCACATACAGCATACAATGTTAAAAATGTTCTACATTATGAACCTTAACCCAAAAACCTTTAGCTTCATACACTGTAGATAATTGTGACCCTGCCTGTGGAAACCCAGCTAAAGTTTATTTTTTTAAAACAGTGGATGAGTAATTCACTCCTTGATTTGCTTAATAAAAGCCTCCTTTGAGATCGTTTTGACAGACATGTTTATTGTGCATTTTAAACTTGTTTATTGCTAAGTTTAGTGTGGCAAAATAGAAGCACAGCCGTAATTCGCGTGCAGTGTATCTAGTTGTCATGACAACCTCACGCACTTCCTGCTGCTGCTCTATGTAATCAGAGTGTGAATTTGTAGATTTTCTATAGCAAAACTAAAATGTTTAAAAGTTCAACTGACCAAATCGTCCGGCTCGGTTTGCCCCCCTCGAACTCGAAGACATCTCTAATTTGACAGTTTACCATCTGCTCTCACTCAGTGACTCTAGGCTATGTAGGACGGGACGAAACCATGCAGTGAATGAGGGAAGATAATTTTGCCGGAAATGCAGAAATAAGCCATAATTTTGTTTTATTTGTAACTCTTTGGTAGATACATTTATAATTTCTATTACATTACTACTACTACTGTTACTACTAATTAAACAGATCTCTGGGGGCCCCAAAAGTGCGTAGGCCCTTAGAATCGTCCTAACAAGCAGTGTTTAGCTCCAGCTTGCCACGACACACCTGCCTGGATGTTTCTAGTATGCCTAGTAAGACCTTAATTTGCTGCTTCAGGTGTGTTTAATTAGGGTTGGAGCTAAACTATGCAGGACACCGGCCCTCCAGGACCGAGTTTGGACACCCCTGCTTTAATGGGACATGTTGTCACACATAGGGTAAGTCGCCATAAAGGAACTCTCGTAATAAACAGCATATTAGCCTTTTCAGATAAATGTAAACAGTGAAACAGTTATGAAACACTTCATAAAAATATTGAAACGACAAAAAGTGCCAAAGGGAACAAAATGTCAAAACAGAACTTTAAAAAAATTATAAAAATATAATGATAATAAAAATGTACAGCATATTTTGTCAAAATAAAACCTAGATGTGCATGATTAATGTGAATGGCCCATTTCTACCTCATAATCAAAGATGAGCATGTGTCCTCTGTCTGCTGTTGGCTTATAATTTCACTGCAAATTACTGGATAGAAATATGACACTATGAATAAAAAAATATAATAATAATAAAGTAAAATGTATGACATTCAAATATCTGTCCATGTTCAGAGACTGATGAACGTTTGTGGTTATATGCAAAAGACACTTGGTTCTGAATACTTCATTTTTACAAATTTACAACAAACAAGGCTGAATGATGAATCTAACAGGCACTGTCTTTAGTTGGTGACACCTCACAGTCAAAGGGTCCATTTCACAAAACTCTGCTATTTTCTGTCTTCAAGACAAGATTTTACATTTTGAATTACTGTAGTTATACTTATTCATTCAGTTTTTAGAAAAGAAAATATATATAAAGGCAAAGCATGACTTAATACTGTCACAGTCACCAGCTCAGCCATCAACACACTACATTTCCCATCATCCCCTCTGGCTACCACCTGTGCGCACTCAACAATCACCACACCTGTCTGCCATCAGCCTCATCAGTCCCTCTTCATAAGCCAGCACCAAACACATGTGGTTGCGCTCATCTGTTGCTCCTCGGATTCTGTGCCTTTGGCACTGTACACTTACCTGTTGGATTTACTGGGATGACTTTTGGATCTGTGTGGCTATCCCCACAAGAGAAAAGAAAGGAATGTTACTTCAGTTAAGTGAGCTTTCTGAGATTGTTCATGTTGATGCTTACCAGTTTGAGTTTGCCTTTTTAGTTGTGGAATAAAGAAGCTAATTTCACCCATACAAACCTTGTTCAACTCCTTCCTGTTATGACAGAAGACCAGACCTTACAAAACGGACAACACAGCAGAATGAGCTCCATTTTATTTGATCCTGCCGCATTACTCTATACCCGTACTCAAGATGGCCACCCAATAGAGGAGTATGTAGAGGAGTTTATCGAACTAACTCATCTTGTGCCCTGGAGCGATGGCACACTGAAGACTCTCTTCTGGCTTGGACTCGATGACCATCTTTTGAATCGGGTCCATGCAACAGATACCACATGTTCCCTTATGCCGCAAATTGACCATGTGTTGTGGCTGGGTGGTTCCTCCCTCACCGTTGGGGAGATTGATGAAACCACCATCACCCCTGTTCAAATCTGCTCCAGCTTTCAGCCGAGAACATGCTCCTGAGATAATGCTCTCTATAACCTCTGCCAAGAAAAGGAGGCAGAGAAGAAGTAAGCATTCAGTGTCAACTCCAGCGTGCCCTCCAGAGTCAGCTCCAGCGTACCCCTCAGGGCTCCTTGATATGGCACTTCCTACAGAATTCTCTGCTCCTATCCTCCCTCCAGTGTTCACTTCAGTCCCAGAATCCAGTGATTCTGTTTTAGTCTCAGAGTTCAACCCCCCAGGGAAGGCTGAGTCTGCCAGTACATTTCTGGAGCACAGTGGGGCTTTGTTGTCTCAGTCTCACAAGCGAAGGTTGAGAAGGAGGAGGGCAGCTAAGTCCACCCCGGTGGTCCTGGAGGATCTGACTCCAGGGGTCTCAAGTCCAGTGGTCCTGGGGGACCCGACTCAGGTAGTTCCAAGTCCGTTGGTTCTGGAGGACCCGACTCCAGGGGTCTCAAGTCCAGTGGTCCTGGGGGACCCGACTCGGGTAGTTCCAAGTCCGTTGGTTCTGGAGGACCCGACTCCAGGGGTCTCAAGTCCAGTGGTCCTGGGGGACCTGACTCGGGTAGTTCCAAGTCCGTTGGTTCTGGAGGACCCGACTACAGGGGTCTCAAGTCCAGTGGTCCTGGGGGACCCAACTCGGGTAGTGCCAAGTCCGGTGGTCCTGGAGAACCTGACTCCCGTGATCCCAAGTTCAGTGGTCCCAGAGGTTCCTGGGCAACCCACTCCAGAACAGCCTGCCACAGAGCTGCCTAATCTCACAGCTGCTGCCATAGTCAAAAAGGCTGTTTTCGCCTTTCACCTCATGGCTGTTCTGAGTGCGCGGGCCGCTTCAAAGTCTGCTCCTACTTCCCAAGAACCCGTTCCAGCCTGGGAACCCTCAGAGTCCACTCAAGAGCCTGCTCCAGTCCAGGAGCCAGCCTCAGAGTCCAATCTCGAACCCACGCTAGTCCATGAATCCGCCTCAGAATCCACTCCAGAGCCCGCTCCAGTCCAGGAGCAATCAGAGTCCACTCCACAGTCCAACCTGGATCCCGCGTTCATCACACAGTTAAGCCAGGAGCTTTCTCCAGTTCTTCAATCTGTTACAGAGTCTGTCCCAGTCTATGAATCCATTCCAGTGAATGAAAGCCCACAGATGGCTCCTGTTCCTGAGTCTGGCCCAGAAAGGGCCTCTGTTCCCGAGTCTGGGCCAGAGATAGGGCCGCTGTTCCCGAGTTAGGCCCAGAGAGATTCAATAGACTCTCCGTGTCTATTGATGCTTCTTTTGCTACTGCTACAGAACCTCCAGAGGTGGCGGCATTCACTGCAGAACCTCCATTGGTGGCGGTGTTGTCCACTTCCGCGCCTCTTAAGATGGGGGTGCCCACTTATGAACGCTT